CTGCTATTTTGGAAGGAGAATGAAAAATTGGATAAGTGTACAGTATGTGGGGAGTCAAGATATCAACTCAATGATGGTAAGGGTAAGAAGATACCTCATAAGATCTTGCGATATTTTCCCTTGAAACCGAGGTTACAGAGATTATTTATGTTGAGAAAAACGGCTATAGATAGGAGGTGGCACCAAGAGAAGCGAGTGGACGATGAGAATTTTTCAAGGCATCCTGGTGATTCTGAAGAATGGAAAGATTTTGTTAAGCAATATCCTGATTTCACTAGGGACGCTCGTAATGTTAGGCTTGGATTGGCCACAGTTGGTTTAACTCTTTTGGCAACATGAGCACCTCTTATAGTATGTGGCCGGTGATCTTGATGCCTTATAACCTACCTCCCTGGAAATGTATGAGCGATCCATTCTTCATGATGTCATTGCTTATTCCAGGACCACAGGCAACCGGGAAGGAGATTGACGTATACTTGCGCCCGTTAGTTGATGAGTTGAAAGAATTGTGGGAAGGTGTTGTAACTTTTGATGCATGTACCAAACAGACATTTCAATTGCGTGCAGCTATTATGTGGACCATAAATGATTTTCCTGCTTATGGTAACTTATCTGGATGGAGTACAAAAGATTACAAGGCATGTCCAATTTGTAATTTTGATGCATTATCACAGCCATTAAGAAGCAAAATTGGCTACACAGGCCACCGGCGTTACTTGCCGCAAGGTCACAGTTGGCGACAAAGTAAGTTATTTAATGGTAAGATTGAGAAAAAATCAAAACCTTGTGAGTTATCGGGGCAAGAGATTTTAGATCAGTTGGAGGGTTTACCATATCTGCAATTCCGGAAGCATCCAAACAATCGAAAAAGAAAGTGATCAGCTGAGGAACTTAATTGGACAAAGAAGAGCATTTTTTTTGAGTTACCGTATTGGCATGTGCTTAAGATTCGACACAACCTTGATGTCATGCACAGAGAGAAGAATATATGTCATAATTTGCTTGGCACGTTGTTAAGTATTGATGGCAAGAATAAGGACACAGATAAAGCGCGTCTGGATTTAGAGGACCTAAATATCAGAAAAGAATTGCACCTCCACAAGAATGGGGAGGCATATGTAAAACCAGCTGCGTGAATTTTTGAAATCAATTAAGTATCCAGATGGATATGCAGCAAATATATCGAGGTCTGTGAGCACGAAGGATGGTAAGCTATCAGGCTTGAAAAGTCATGATTGTCATTTCTTCTACAACGACTTATTCCACTAGGAATTTGTGGTTACTTGGACAAGGAAATTTGTACCACTTTATTTGAGCTGGGAAATTTTTTTCAACAACTCTGTGCAAAGACATTGATGGTAAAAGACTTGGATGCATTACAAGATAACATAATACTTATTCTTTGTAAGTTAGAAAAGATATTTGTTCCAGCATTCTTTGATGTTATGGTTCATTTAGCAGTTCACTTGCCAAGGAAAGCCAAGATTGCTGGACCCGTGGAGTATCGGTGGATGTACCCAATAGAAAGGTAAGACAATAAAATTGTTATTTGCTTCTTATTTGGTTTTGGTATTATCTCCTTATATGTTTTGTAATTAACTGAAGGTATCTCGGAACTTTAAAAGGATATGTTCGTAATCGAGCTCGTCCAGAAGGTTCAATTGCAGAGGCTTATATTGTCAAAGAATGTCTTACCTTTTGCTCGATGTATCTTACTCATATCGAAACAGTTTTTAATCGCAAGGAACGAAATGCAGATCGAGTTGAAAATGTGCATGGGTTAGCTATGTTTAGCCAAAATGTTCGTCCTTTTGGTCGAATTACAAGAGCAACTGAGGTCTCTCAACAGGAATGAGAGATGGCTCATTGGTTTGTCCTACATAATAGTCCCGAACTGGATCCGTATCTAGAGTATGTGTATGTTAAATATAAATATTTGTTTTGAATTCTCATTGTACTTTTTAATTTTTTAAAAGTTGTTATATGTCAAATTTATGGTTTTATACGTAGGGAACACAAAAATATATTAGAGTTGGAAAGAAATGGTGACATAACTTGTCGCCACCAATCAGAATTTTCCAAGTGGTTTGCAAAACATGTAAGCTATACAAATTTAGATTATAATCATTATTTGCATTAGTTTGTATAACCATAAAAACAATCCATATTCATGTGTGTAGATGAATCAATTACGAGGCGAAGGGTCACTTGAAGCAACTGATGAATTGTGGTCACTAGCAAACGGTCTTGATGTGACAATAAAAGTTTACTCTGGTGCAATATGCAATGGTGTCCGATTTCATACTAAAGAGCGTGACAACCGTCGAAAAAGTCAAAATAGTGGGGTTGTTGTAGAAGGAGAACATAATAATAAAACAATTAACTTCTATGGATACTTAAATAAGGTGTGGGAGATGAGTTACATATTTGGCCATAGTATTTTTTTGTTCCAATGTGAATGGTTCAACCTTGGTAGTGGGAAAGCAGTTCAGATTGATGCTCATGTTACAAGCGTTAATGTGAAAAGTAGATGGTATCAAAATGACCCTTTTGTACTACCTAATTAGGTGAAACAAGTATTTTATGTTCATGATACAAAATTGGGTAGAGATTGGCAAGTTGTGCAACACATACATCATCAAGGAATATGGGATGTTCCTGAAAACAAAGATGTACAAGTTAGTGAAAATGGATCGTATGTTCCAAGTGACGCATTCCAACAGCATGAAGTAACAGAGGTTGCTCCGGTAGTGGTCGAAGATAACGAAATAGGTCAACTTCATAGGACTGATCTTGATGGGGAAATCATTCACCGAGACCGGATTGTTCATTGGGGAAGTAGAAAAGACAATAACATTGATGATTTCATATGTGATGACAATGATGAGGCACAAGTTCAGTATGTCGATTCAGAAGAAGATAATGATGTGAATGTCCATTTTGATTCTGATGAAGAGTCAAATATGTAGATGAATTATTAAGATATTTTCATGGTAATTAATAAATTATAACTTATATTTGTGAGCTACTTGGATATTGTCGATATAATTTATATATTTCTATATGTCAGGTGTTTTATATATATGGGACCAGGTCACCGAGCCACCAAAACAGCTAGCAAGGTTGCATCCTCCTGTACACATGTTAGGGGTGTATCATCTGATGCACCTACATCACAGCCTATTGCAGGCATGGAGGGTAGCAGTACAGGTTTGATTCATACTTTACTTTCTAAACATATTTTTTGGGCTAACATTATTTACTTACTGTTTGCGCAGCAGCTTCTACCACCAAGAAACAAGGTCGAGGACCATCTAGAGGAAAAAATGCTGAGCATATGTGTGCATCTCACGGCCCCCTTGAAGTTTTGATTCCTGATGGAGTCGGCGTTCCAGTGGGTGTACATTCTTTGAAGGTGATGACAGAGATTGGCTCACTGGCGAGGACGTTTGCCCCTATTAGAAATGTGCACACATGGAAGCAAATAACAGAGGAGGAGAAGGCACCACTAATTGCACGATTGTTGGTTAATGGATATATTAGTTTGGTTTCAACAATATATTTATTTGTTTAGAGTGTTACAACCGATGGTTTTAATTATCATATTTATATTTTGTTGTAGACAAAGTTTAACATTAGAGACTATCGTGAAAAAGTTAGTGTTAGGAAGGCTGTCGACAAAAAATTTGCTGCGAGGTACAGGGACCATCGATACTATATGCATATGCACTACAAGGATTTGTTTGAGTCCGGTGTTGACCCAAAGAGCAAGCCATATGGTGATGTGAGTCAGGAGGATTGGTAGTACATAATTAAAACACTTTACAAGGATCCAAAATTTCAGGTAACTTTTATAAGCTATGCAAATTAATATCCACTTTTTATTCCTAAATGTGTACTAATTATATTCTTTGTATATAGGACAAAGCTAAGAAAAATGCAGAAAATCGTGCTAAACTGTCATACAACCACGCGATGGGTTCAAAGTCCTTTTAGTCTGCACTATATGAAAGGGTGTTATACTTTAGCATTTGCTTCCTAAATTTTAATATATAGGAAATTCATAAAATTGAATATTGATATTTTGATTAACTGTAACAGAGGGACCCTACGACTGATGAGCCACCCCACATTGTTGATTTTTTCCACAATTCTCATGTGAACAAGAAGGGTGAGTGGGTTTCTGCTGAGGCTGAGTCAAGGTATGTAAGTATTTCAATTTGTAGGAAAATTTATTTTTTATTTTTTAAATAATTTTTTTTCATACACTTAATAATTGGGTTTAAATATATTAAATTGTAGGCGCGGATGAAAGAATTGGCCACACAGAACTTAGAAGAGAGTGTAGAGCCAATGACACTGGATGAAATTGCATGCACAGTCCTTGGTAGCCGATCTGGATATAAGAAAGGATTTGGACATGGCCCGAAGTCTTCATCCTCTAGTCAGTCATGCAGATCCACTACTGAGTATCGAGAATAAGCTGATATGATAAAAGAGCTACAAGCAACTGTTGATTCTCTTCAAAAGGAACGTGATGAAACGAAAGAGAAGCTAGAAAAGTTGAAGGAGCACAGAAGAAGTTTGAAGAAGCACAGCTACAAATGATGCAAAAACTTTTGCAGATGCAACTTCAAATGCAACGTGCTCTGCAGGGCAACTCAACTAATGTAGACATGCCACCTGAGTCTTAGTAAGTATCTTATTACAAACGTTTTAAGTGTAACACTTAAGAAGTATAAAAACAAAAAATTTGATTGACTTTTATTAATGTATGGTTTTTTTTTTTTTTGTAACAAATGAATTCGGGACTTTTGCATAATTCGTGGCTGACGAATTATATTTTTTTATGTATTAAAATATTGTATGCTTCCATCTTGGTTTTGATGTGTGATTGTTGTTTTAATATGTTATTTGAGAGGTTTGCCTTTTAAGTCCCATTTGTTATGATGTGGGTTAATTGTTTGGCTATATGGTGTAAGTGTTGATTTGTTTGAAATATGGTAGAAGGAAAGGCATTGGCAGGCTGTTTACCATTTGTCGCTGTATTAATTGTTGGAAATATACTCTGGTAAAATCTATACTTAGATGCTTTTCAAAAGTTGCTAGCTCTTCACCGTGTAGTCTTTATTGACTATTTTGTTGTCAGGTACATTGACATGGCAGAATCCATGTGCCAGAAATGTGTTTTGGAAGCGTTTCTGTTGGATCTGGCAAAGTGGGGAGGTAATTGCATTTTTATCTATCTATCCATCTATCTATCTATCTACATATGGCAAGGTTTTATTGGTATCAGTCTTAGTGTTTGCCACATTGTAAATATAGGTGTCCAATATGCTTACCTGAAAGACAACCTGCATAAAGCAACTCTGTAGTGTGACCCCTTGGCTTGTAGCTGCATGGCATCCGCCTTGGTACAATAGCTACTCCTCACACTAGCAGGAATTTGAATGCATGAGATTGGAAATGGAATCACTTCTGTATCAATACCGAGTTGATATTGTCTTCTCAGGTCATGTAAGTTGACAATATTATTACTGTGACTTTGTTTTTGGCATAGATATTAGGTGGCTCATGCCGATTAATAGTCTCCCACATTTTACTGAAAATTTTGTTTTTGTCATAAAATCAGCAAAATTTTGTATACTAAATCCTAGTTATTACATAGGAATTAGTTTATAGTTTTTGCCATCTGTAGTTGGACGACTATTCTAAAATGTTGTTGTTGTTGTAAGATGTATCACTTGAAGTCATTGTTTCATTTGTAAGTTGTACCTCCTATCAAGAGGTAGAATGGTTGCAGGAGCCCTTCAGTTAGTATAGTTGTCTGATAACCTGCAACCTGAATCAACTATCTCATGCAAATGTCGCGTGGCAAAAAATCAGAAAAAACTTGAATTGTACAAGGCAAGTTTCCTGGTTCAACTTATTTAAATCAGCCTTATAAATATGTTGCTTTTATTCGCCTTTTGCAGTAGGAATACTAATATAGTTGAATTTGTTTTTTTTCATCAGTATAATTGCATTTGTTACTTATTGGTACTTCAGTAAACAACTACACCTAACTTTTGAGACAATATTCCTGCATGCTTTATATTTTGCCTCGGCTTTTAAAAGACTTTACTTGTGGAAGCTTACATTGATGCCTAGTCTCCTTTCTTGTAGATTGAATTGAACCAAGTGCGCCATATAGTTGCAGATATGTGAACATGACATTTTTTTAATTGAATTTGAATATCTTTGTTTGGTTAAGTCATCTATTATTGCTCATCAACTTTGGAGCTGTATCAAAAGCCAAAACCATGATAGTTACTCCAGCCAAAAGTTGCTAGTAAAGTATCAACTCTGACTCCCCTTTATTTCTTGTTATTTTTTCCTTGGATTTTGATATCTCATGTTTTCTTCATATTCTTTTGGTTCTTTGTGAAATAGCATTTTTAAAATCAAGATATATCTCATTTCTACAATTTCAAGCAGATATTATAAGTCGTTATGTTTTCTCTGGCTTTGGTGTTGATTTATGTAGCTACTGTGTGTGTGTGTGTGTGTGTGTGTGCAGCTTGTAGTACTGCTCTACTTTACGAAACGAATATTTGATAATTCATGTGGGTGGATTTCTTTCATTATAAAGATTATCGGTTTGCTTAGATATCTAATCATTAGTCAAGAATTTGTTAATTTAAAGAGATGTATATAGAAGATGATGTTTCCTAAATGAAATTTGGGTAATATGATATAATTGGTCTTTTTTCTCCTAATGATGACTCTCTTACCTGCTCACATGAATGAAGGCACCCACACATATTATGCTACATCTTCCCAGTGGGTGATGAAAACAAAAGTTAAGAGAATTTCTTTGCTGATACATGTATAATGGGATGAAACTTGTGATCTGATTAAATTATGTTCTGTTCTGTTCTGTTCCAGGACGATGAGATGGATAGCATCAGAAGTCTAGTTAGTTTTGCCACTTTTGACCCGAAAGTGAAGGGTGGGTTAAGATGGCGCTTTGGGAAGGAGTCTTCTGGAGACCGCTACACTGTTGTTGGGGTTTGGCATATAAAAGCTAAAGCATATAGAGGTTCATCAATTAGGCTTAAGATCCGAGATGCAGATAGATTTGACTTCCTGTCTTCAGCTGGTGAAGTTACATGCGAGGTCACTGTGAAAATGACTTCAATAGTATCACACTTGCTGGTCAATTTTTGTGTGGTAGTTGATTCTGTAATCTGCTTGTGTAGATGATAAGATTGATTTCATATTATCTGGTAAATGCATGGTTAGATGAGTCTAGTCTATCTTCTTCATTGCGTTCTTCTGGGTGAATTCTTGATAGTTTTCTTTTCATTAAAATTATCTGACTTGGTACCCTCATGCATATCTCAGGAATTAAGGGCGTATTTGGATAGCAATATATCTCCNTTGATTTGGAAAGTTATGCATTGAAATTTAAGTTTGATATTGCGGTGAAAATTTATATTTGTAGACAACTGGTACTAAGAAATTGGTTGTCATAGTAGTTTATTGGTGATAGGGTATCAATATGACAATGCTTGTAATCCAACGAAATTCATATTGTTTTTGTTCCTGTGAATTCTTCTGTGCTGATATGTCATCCTTGTTTTTCAGTTGTGATGCATTTTCTTCATCTTCTGGGTATTTGGTGCCTTAAGATAGGTTTTCCTCTACTATTTGGGGCCATTGTAGGTATATGAGCAGCCTTGGCAATAAGAGGGTTGAACTCTTTGACATGGGAGCTGGGGCTAGTGCACCTACAGCTGATGACAACATTCAAATGGCATCAGGTGAGATCAAATCAATTTTCATGTCTATAACTCAACTGCAGTTTTGTCAATATAAAAAATTATCTACGAAAGACTTGCTAATATATTTGATGATTATTATTACCTATTTAGACAGTGGTACCTTAATGATTTATTTTTGCGTCATTGGATGTCTCTTCGACACAATATTTGTCTTTTTATCATCAATATTATCTATTTTATTGCTTGTGGTTAGTTATATTCATTGTCACTAAGCTCTAAATTTTCTACATTAAGATCCTTGGTTCTACACGATCCGTGAGTTTGTAGGATAAATGATTTTGTTATCATTTCCNATTTTTCTATATTAAGATCCTTGGTTCTACACGATCCGTGAGTTTGTAGGATAAATGATTTGTTATCATTTCCTTATTTTTCAGTTGAGGAAGACTTTAGGGCTTTTGGTTAAAATCTGCAACTATAGTTCCTTATCATTTGAATTTTTTTTTGCAATTGTATCCCTTTTGTTTTGGTATATGTATCATATTCTTATATTTCCATGCGATGTTCTACAAAACTCCAAAAATACCATATACAAGTAATATTTCTCAAGCATGTAGATCTTCTAACTAATTTGACAAGGTAAATGGGCTAAAAAATGGTGAATAAATTTTTGATGTTTGCCCATTCACATCTCAATCTACTGAAAGTTTCAGGACACTCCTGGCATGTCAAACTCCCGCGTGGGGGTGTCAATCTAAAATAAAATTTATGATTTTGGACATTGAGACTGCCCAACATTTGACTGAAATTTTTTTTGAGTTGGGATACGGCTTTCTTTTGGTTTTAAGCAAGAGTATAACTTTAGGAAAGTCAAAGTTAAAAGTTACTTTTAAGTTCCTTTAAAAGTGTAGAAGGTTTGACCTTTTCCAAGATGCAGAGTGCAGAGTTAAGATCCTTGAAGACTTTATCTGTGGAGTGAGTGCAGGAGGTGAAAATGAGGCATTGTGTCTATGTGCATATGCTTACCTATATAGTTATATACATACATATAATCATTGTCCTTGACCTGTTTCTTTGTTCAAAGTGATTTATTCCGAGTAATGAAAATTTGTGTTACAACAAATATTTGAAATGTTAATCATAATGTAAGGTTATTAATCCCAACTATTTGGGTTTGGCACCTTTTAGATTTTTTAATTAAAAATATTATTTGTGACGATATTTTTTCGTCGCTAATATTAATTAAATTATTCTTTAAATTTTTTATTAAAATATTATTTTCTACGAATTTTATTCCTTCGCAAAAAATTAAATAAATTAATATTTTTGACATTTTTAATTTATATAAAAATTATTTGCGACGCTTTTTTTACGTCGCCAAAAAATAAATTATATTATTATATTTCCCATTTTTATTTATAAAAATTTATTTGCGACGATTTATTTACGTCGCAAAAAATTAAATGAATTAATATTTTTTACATTTTTAATTTATGTAAAAAGTATTCCCGACGATTTCTTTACGTCGCGAAAAATTAATTTAACTAATATTTTTAACATTTTTTATTTAAAAAATTTTTTGCGACAATTTATTTGCGTCGTGAAAAAATTGATCCAATTATGATTTTAATATTTTTATGCTGACAATAGGTTTTAGCTACGTTTTTTTAACTTTTGGCGATGTTTTTTCGTCACAAAAAATTTGTTTTTGCGATAAAATTAAATTTTCGTCAGGAAATACTTTCTGCGACGAGACTATTGCGACGAACACGCGACGAAAAAAAAAAACGTCGCAACAAATAATTAGCGACGAAAAAAATCGTCGCAAAAAAAGATTTTTTGTTGTAGTGTGCAGAATCTTAAAACCGATCTGACGCCTCACCAATCATCCCACCTCAACCCGATCCCACGGGTGTCTTGGTTGGCGATGCACCGGCTATTGGCTGTCACTATCCCGTCTCAATATCCGCAGAACACGATTAATGAGATCAAGAACACGATCAATAAGATCAAAATATTCAACAATATTCAATCGAAATTCCAAAATAATGATAGCCCAAGTTGGAATACAAATCAAAGAATAATCAAAGAAATACTCTTTGCAAAGAGATTTAAAGAGAGCATATTGTATACCACCTCGTACCTCAGAATCATTATTTGAATTCAATAACTCTGATTTTTATTTTATTCTTCTTATTTTCGAGTAGCTCTCTACTTCTCATTTTCCTCTTCTTTGTTTCTGTCAGACAACTCCTTGTCTGTCTCTCGATTTATCTTTCAAGACCTCCTCCACTTTCTTTTATTTTTGGTTATCTTTATATGCTAGGAAGGTGGGGACGTCTTCTGCTAAATTAATTGGCAAATGTTGAAAAAATCTTTCTATGACTTTTTCTACAATATATTCAATTCTAGTTGAAATCTCATTTCTTTATTCTTTCTCTCTCTTTCTTTGTCTTGTCTCTCTTTTTTTTTTTTTCAAAGTTTTCACGTGGGTGAAGACCAAAGAAGTATAAATGTTAAAATATTTATACTTTATTCCCCTTTATTTCACTTATTATATATATCAACCACAAAACTTAATTATTCCTTATACTTTCACATCAAAACTCATAATATTTTACGCTTAAACTACTTCTAAAAATTTGGGATCTCACAATCTACCCTCCTTAAAAGAATTTTGTCCCAAAATTCCTTAGTTCACCAAGAATCCCAAAATTTGTTGGGTGCAAAGTGTAACATGAGAAAGAAAAAGAATATAAAGTATTTATAGTTCAAAAGAAAAGTGTGTTATTGAATTTTTTCTCAATAAAGGTGTAATTACATTTACTTTCTCTCAATTCACTAAACCAAAAGTCTCTNAGAGGAGTGTTGTTGAATTTTTTTCTAAATAAAGGTGTAATTACATTTACTTTCTCTCAATTCACTATAACGAAAGTCTTTTTTTTTTTTTTTTGTTCTAGTTGTTTGATCTCACAACGAAAACACAGTGAACTCACTTCCCACAAATCCCATATAATATTTGAAGCCTAAGCTCTAATACCATTTATAACGCCCCGATTTTTTTTCCTTCTTTTCAGAGACGTTGATTGATATAAAAATACTCAAATAAAAATAACAGAGCACTAATTGTCTCAATAAAATTTTATTTATCAAAATTATCTCCCAATACAAATAAATCTATCAATATAAATAAATCTCTCAACAAGATTAAAATATCAATTCCATCGACATCTCCTCGTCTTTAATACTCTGATTATTTCGTTCTGATATTTTCTCTAAAATCAACTTGAAAATATTAAATAAAGCGAGGAAGTATACAATATGACAAGGAAAAATATGTTAAAGGACATTGAATAACAAATAATTGAATATCACAAAGTATCTCAATCAACAGATACAAATAGCATATTTGCATATCACACGTCATACAGAATCTTAAAATCGATCTGACACCTCACCAATCACCCCTCCTCAATCCGATCCCACGGATGTCTTGGTTGGCGAAGCACCGGCTATTGGCTGTCACGATCCTGTCTCAATATCCGCAGAACACGATTAATGAGATCAAGAACACAATTAATGAGATCAAAATATTCAACGATATTCAATCGAAATTTCAAAATAATGATAGCACAAGTTGGAATACAAATCAATGGATAATCAAATAAATACTCTTTGCAAAGTGATTTAAAGATAACATATTGTATACCACCTCATACCTCATAATCATTATTTGAATTAAATAACTCTGATTTTTGTTTCATTCTTCTTATTTTCAGGTAGCCCTCTACTTCCCATTTTCCTTTTCTTTGTTTCTGTCAGACAACTCCCTGTCTGTCTCTCGGTTTATCTTTCAAGACCTCCTCCACTTTCTTTTATTTTTGACTATCTTTATATGCTAGAAAGGTGGGACGTCTTCTACCTAATTAATTGACAAGTGTTAAAAAAATCTTTCCACGATTTTTTCTACAATATATTCAATGCTAGCTGAAATCCTATTTCTTTATTCTTTCTCTCTCTTTCTTTGTCTTGTCTCTCTTTTTTTTTTTTTTTCAAAGTCGTCGCGTGGGTGAAGACTAAAGAAGTACAAATGTTAAGAAATTTATATTTTACTCTCTTTTATTTCACTTATTATATATATCAACCACAAAACTTAACTATTCCTTATACTTTCACGTCAAAACTCATAATATTTTATACTTAAACTACTTCTAAAAATTTGGGATCTCACAACATCGCAATCAGCTCCCTCTTGTTTTAATTTAAGCAATTAACCCCTTCAAGTTTTGACATTACATCAATTATTGAATTGCCGTTAAATCTGACCTTTAAAAAACTCACAGACATTTATCACGTTAATATGACCTTACTTGAATTCATTTAAATGACAAATTTACCCTTTCTTCTCTAACTTTGAAAAACTAAAACAGCAATGCACAGGGTGACGTTGCTAGTTCAATTTGTAAAAGAATGGGTGGT